GATCAGAGTATATGCATTCCCCAATACATTAGTTGTGTCGATGAATGCAGGGGATGAGATGAAAAGCTGTAAGCCTCCCGCCTGAAAGCTGGCTGCCTTGGATCAACGTCTCGCGTGAGCTGGGCGCCAAGGTATTGGTCCAGTGTGATGATGGTAAAGCACTGCGTACCTTGTTCCAAGGATCGTAGGTTCGAGTCTCCGTCTGCCAGAGATCAGTGTTTGTGTATATTTCGCTCCTGCTGCTCTTGCGAATTCCTTGCATATATATATATATTATATATATATATATATATATATATATATATATTATATATATATATATATATATATACGGCCGATTTCAACAAACCGGCTGTATCCCACCAAGGCAGGGTGGCCCAAAAAGAAAAACGAAAGTTTCTCCTTTTAAATTTAGTAATTCATAATTTATAATTTATAATTTATATATAGTAGGTTGGTAGACAGCAACCACCCAAGGAGGTACTACCGTCCTGCCAAGTGAGTGTAAAACGAAAGCCTGTAATTGTTTTACATGATGGTAAGATTGCTGGTGTCTTTTGTCTGTCTCATAAATATGCAAGATTACAGGTACATCTTGCTACTTCTACTTACGCTTAGGTCACACTGTATATACATGTACACGTTTATTCATACACACTCATCTGAGTTTTCTTTGATTTAATCTTAATAGTTCTTGTTCTTATTACTTTTCCTTTTATATCCATGGGGAAGTGGAATAAGAATGTTTCCTCCGTAAGCCATGCGTGTTGTAAAAGTCAACTAAAATGCCGGGAACAATGGGGTAGTAACCGCTTTTCCTGTAATAATTACTAAATGTGCGTGGATGTTGTGCGAATGTTAAGAAAGAAATGATTGTGGATGTTATGAATGAGAAGAAGGTGGATGTCCTGGCTTTAAGTGAAACAAAGCTGAAGGGGGTGGGAGAGTTTCAGTGGAGAGAAATAAATGGGATTAGGTCGGGGGTTTCAAATAGAGTTAGAGCTAAAGAAGGAGTAGCAATAATGTTGAAGGATAAGCTATGGCAGGAAAAGAGGGAGTATGAATGCATTAATTCAAGGATTATGTGGAGTAAAATAAAAGTTGGATGCGAACAGTGGTTTATAGTGAGCATATATGCACCCGGAGAAGTGAGAAGTGTAGAGGAGAGAGAGAGACTTTGGGAAATGTTGAGTGAATGCGTGGGGAGTTTTGAACCAAGTGTGAGAGTACTTGTGGTTGAGGATTTCAATGCTAAAGTGGGTAAAAATGTTGCGGAAGGAGTAGTAGGTAAATTTGGGGTGCCATGGGTAAATGAAAATGTGGAACCTTTAATTGAGCTATGTGTAGAAAGAGGTTTGGTAATAAGTAATACATATTTTATGAAAAAGATGATAAATAAATATACAAAGTATGATATAGCACATAATGAAAGTAGTTTGTTAGGTTATGTATTGGTGGATAAAAGGTTGATGGGTAGGCTCCAGGATGTACATGTTTATAGAGGGGCAACTGATACATCGGATCATTATTTAGTTGTAGCTACAGTTAGAGTAAGAGGTAGATGGGACAAGAGGAAAATGACAACAACAAGTAAGAGAGAGGTGAAAGTGTATAAACTGAGGGAGACGGAAGATCGGGTGAGATATAAGCAACTATTGTCAGATAGATGGGCTGGGGCAAGTATGAGTAGTGGTGGGGAGTTGAAGAGGGTTGGAATAGTTTTAAAAATGCAGTATTAGAATGTGGGGCAGAAGTTTGTGGTTACAGGAGGGTGGGTGCTGGAGAAAAGAGGAGTGATTGGTGGAATGATGAAGTAAAGGGTGTGATAAAAGAGAAAATGGTAGTGGTTGACAGGTTTTTACAAAGCAGAAGTGTTATAAGAAGAGCAGAGTGTATGGAGAATAAAGGAAAGGGAAGAGAGTAGTGAGAGAGTGCAAAAGGAGAGCAGATGATAGAGTGGGAGAGGCACTCTCAAGAAATTTTAATGAAAATAAGAAATATTTTGAGTGAGTTAAACAAGTTAAAAAAGCCTAGGGAACGAATGGATTTGTCAGTTAAAAACAGAGTAGTGGAGTTAGTAGATGGGGAGATGGAGGTCTTGGATAGATGGCGGGAATATTTTGAGGAACTTTTAAATGTCGACGAAGAAAGGGAGGCGATAATTCCATGCATTGGCCAGGGGGGTATACCATCTTTTAGGAGTGAGGAAGAGCAGGATGTGAGTGTGGGGGACGTGCGTGAGGCATTATGTAGAATGAAAGGGGGGTAAAGCAGCTGGAACTGACGTGATCATGACATAAACGTTAGAAGCAGGGAAGGGATATAATGTTAGAGTGGCTGGTATTTTTGTTTAATAAATGTATGAAAGAAGGGAAGGTACCTAGGGATTGGCAGAGAGCATGTATAGTTACTTTATATAAAGGGAAGGGGATAAAAGAGATTGTAAAAAAATATAGAGGAATTAGTTTACTGAGTATATCAGGAAAAGTGTACAGTAGGGTTATAATTGAAAGAATTAGAGGTAAGACAGAGTGTAGGATTGTGGATGAGCAAGGAGGTTTTAGAGTGAGTAGAGGATGGGTAGATCAAGCGTTTATACATTGAAGCATATATGTGAACAGCATTTAGATCAAGGTAGAGAAGTTTTCATTCCATTTATGGATTTAGAAAAGGCATATGATAGAGTGGATAGGGGAGTATTGTGGCAGATGTTACAAGTATATTGAATAGGTGGTAAGTTACTAAATGCTGTAAAGAGTTTTTGTGAGGATAGTGAGGCTCAGGTTAGGGTGTGTAGAAGAGAGGGAGACTACTTCCCGGTAAAAGTAGGTCTTAGACAGGGATGTGTAATGTCACCATGGTTGTTTAATATATTTATAGATGGGGTTGTAAAAGAAGTAAATGCTAGGGTGTTCGGGAGAGGGGTGGGATTAAATTATGGGGAAACAAATACAAAATGGGAATTGACAGTTACTTTTTGCTGATGATACTGTGCTTATGGGAGGTTCTTAAGAAAAATTGGAAAAGTTAGTGGGCGAGTTTGGGAGAGTGTGTAAAGGTTGAAAGTTGAAAGTGAACATTGAAAAGAGTAAGGTGATTAGGGTATCAAACGAATTAGATTAAAAAAATTGGTTATCAAATTGGAGAGGAGGAGTATGGAAGAAGTGAATGTTTTCAGATATTTGGGAGTTGACGTGTCAGCAGATGGATTTATGAAGGATGAGGTTAAACATAGAATTGATGAAGGGAAAAAGGTGAGTGGTGCATTGAGGTATATGTGGAAATATTCATATTATTGTCAAAACTGCTTTTTATGAAACAAGATTCAGTTATATTCCTGTCGACCATGAACTTCCTTGATACAACTTTCTCAACTTTTTGAAAATCAATTGGATGGTTAAAATCTCTCACATGAATAAATAGAGCATTGGAATCTTGTCCAGTTCTAATGCTATATTCATGTTGTTTTAATCTTAGTTCGAGACTTTGACCATTTTGACCGTAATAAACTTTATCGCAAATTTTACATGGAATCTTATAGACACAACCGTCAGCATTTTGGCGGGAATTTTTTATCAAAATTTTTTTTACTGTATCAAGATTTTTAAATACAACTTTGATATTAAAAGTCTTAAGAAGAGAAGGCATATCAACCAAGTTTTCATGGAAAGAGAGAACCAACATATTTTTAGTTGAAAAAGGTTGGTTGTTCCTTTTTGAATTGTAAAAAGTTTTTCTTGCAATTTTAAAAGATTTATCAATTACGTTTCTTGGGTATTTCAGATCATTAGCTATTTGATGCATTACTTTTATTGTTTCTTGATAATGTGAGTAGTCACGAAAGCACTTAGAATTTCATTATTCTTTCACAGTGGTTGTTTTGCATATATATATATATATATATATATATAAAATATATATATATATATATATATATATATATATATATATATATATATATATATACGTGTTGTGTGTGGGGTGTGTGTGGGTTTGAGTGTATGTGTGTGTACTCACCTAATTTTGGTTGCAGGGGTCGAGACTCAGCTCCTGGCCCCGCCTCTTCACCGACCGCTACTAGGTCCTCTCTCCCCCTACTCATGAGTTTTATCATACCTCGTTTTAAAACTATGTATAGTTCCTGCCTCCACTACATCGTTTGTCACACTATTCCACTTCCTAACTACTCTATGACTGAAAAAATACTTCCTAATATCCCTTTGACTCATCTGAGTCTTCAGTTTCCAATTGTGACCCCTTGTTTCTGTGTCCCATCTCTGGAACATCCTGTATTTGTGTGTGTGTGTGTGTGTGTGTGTGTGGTGTGTGGGGTGTTGGTGGTTGGGTGTGTGTTTGTGTGTGGGTTTGTGTTTGTGTGTGTGTGTGTGTGTGTGTGTGTGTGTGTGTGTGTGTGTGTGTGTGTGTGTGTGTGTGTGTGTGGGTGTGTGTGTGGGTGGATTTGTGAGTGTGTGTTGTGTGTGTGTGTTGTGTGTGTGGTGTGTGTGGGTGGGTGGGTGTGTGTTTGTGTGTGGGTTTGTGTGTGTGTGTGTGTGTGTGTGTGTGTGTGGGTGGATTTGTGAGTGTGTGTGTGTGTGGGTGTGTGTGTGTGTGGGTGGGTGGGTGTTTGTGTGTGGGTTTGTGTGTGTGTGTGTGTGTGTGTGTGTGTGTGTGTGTGTGTGTTTTGTGTGTATGTGTGTGTGTGTGAGTGAGTGCAGAAACTAACCGTTGCTTTTGTGAATTTTCCAGTTCCTGAAAATATTCTTTGAAAAATTCTCATTTTTTTTAAGATAGATGGAATATATTATAAAACCGTATATACTAATGATTGTTTTTTAGTTAATTAGTGCACCTAATAAATAGTGCCCTGAAAATACACTGTTTACGCTACCACATACATATAATGCATAAAATTAGAATATTACTGAACAGTTTCACGTTTTCGTCAGAAATAATAAATATGGTTTCCGAATTCTGCTAAACAGAAAAGATAAGGTACTTACCTGTAACTTGTTGATTAAGGAATAAAGACATTCAGAGAAGACAACGCTCAACATCACCAGGTCAAACTTCTCCACTTGAACTTGTTGCAGTTCTTGGGTGCGAATAGCTTTGCCACAATATTCAGATGCTAAGGGAAGCACCTGAAAGACTGAGCTGAAGTGACTTGTTGTAAAGCGATTGGGAAATTTTGAAAAAATGTCTGTGTCCGGCACAAATACTTCGCGGATTCTTGTTCTTGAATATGATGCCCTGAATCCGGTCACGAAAGTCACCTGTGATAAAAATCATACATATATATATATATATAATATATATATATAATATTATATATATATTTTATATATATATATTATGTATATATATATATGTATATATATATATATATATATATATATATATATATATATATAATATATATAATATATATATATTATATATATATATTATATATACAATGCCTGCACTTTAAAGGAGGGGTTTGGGATATTGGCAGTTTGGAGGGATATGTTGTGTATCTCTATACGTATATGCTTCTAAACTGTTGTATTCTGAGCACCTCTGCAAAAGCAGTGATAATGTGTGAGTGTGGTGAAAGTGCTGAATGATGATGAAAGTATTTTCTTTTTGGGGATTTTCTTTCTTTTTTTGGGGTCACCCTGCCTCGGTGGGAGACGGCCGACTTGTTGAAAAAAAAAAAAAAAAATATATATATATATATATATATATATATTATATATATATATATATATATATATATATATATATATATATATAGTATATATATATATATATGTCGTGCCGAATAGGCAGAACTTACGATATTGGCTTAAATAGCAACGCTCATCTTGCCATATAGGACAAGCGAAAATTTGTGTATGTAATAATTTCGCTAAAATCATTCTGAACCTAACGAAAAAAATATATTACACTGTGTTTGTTTAGTATTAAATTATTGTAAACAAATCTAAAATATATTTAGTTGGGTTAGGCTAAAATAAATTGCGCTTGTTATAATAAGGTTAGGTAAGTTTTCTAAGATTCTTTTCGTGCAAAATTATAAATTTTTACATTAACGGTAATGAAAAAAATATATCTTTAAACGTATAAGAGAAAATTTTAGAAAGGACCTAATTTTAAATGAGCTCTTACTAATTGACGAGTTTTACATATTCGGCACGACATATACATATATATAATATTTAAAAACAAAATACATTGAATAAAGATTCGGTAGGAAGGAGAACACTATAAATAACATCTCAGGCCCTACATCTCAAAAACTTCATCCATTTCCCCGGCGGGGTGCCATGTGCGCAAATTTCTGCAGGCATTTTCCCGCTGAATCACAACACTGAATCTCTGAAAGAAGAAACAGACTGCTGTGGGGTCCTTAGTTTCCGTGATGAACTCCAAGGGTTTCTAACCCTGCTGGGACGAAGTTATATCACGGTTGCAGCCTTCTGTATCTATTGATCTTCTGGGTTTCCCTGAACCTGGCATCATCACCCGTCTTCAACTTCAGAGTATGGTAAGTAGGTGTCAGCCAACGCAGAGGCACAAGTGTAGTCATACGCAATCTGCTTACCATCCTTCCAGGGTAGCATGGTAACTCCATCTGAACTCTTTTGGCTTCCATCAGACCTCAGTACTTGATGCTCCCATTTTGCTGGACAACGGGCTGTGGTGAGGCTTCACTTGATGTCACTGGCCTCCTTATGTCTGGCATACTTACTTCCGACATATGACAGACGAGACCATGTAGTCCAAATTGATCAGCTGGCGACCTGGCGCAAATGCAAAACATACTCTCGGTGATTATGGGGAAGGCTAGGCGAAGAACTACATCAATCCGAATGGCTTGAGGGTGAAGCCGAGTGCTCAAGGAGGCCATCAGCACTTGAAGACAGGCTTTGTCCTTTCCTGAAGCATTGTTGAACATTGCGTTCGTGATTTTTTCCCACAACTGGTTTGTCCCAGAGGAAGTGGTTGTGCTCTCTGGGAGGAGCTGGTCTACATGAAAAGTCTGCTAGGCTGTCCCACCGCATGGTTGCTTCGATGAACCAGAGGTCTTAGCTCCAACAGCACCTCTCAAGCGTTCAGGGCCAATTCCCTAGCTAGTTCACTGGAAGCTATACACAAAGACAATGCGCGTTGCCTTGCGCACCTTTGTACATCCCAGTCGCACTGGAAAAGTTACTTGATGTCATTGGTGTTCTTCCGGTGACAGATTCAGTGCGCTATATTAACTGAATGCTGGGTTATCGAGGAAGGAGTTAGTTTTGGCAGAGTTAGGCACCTTCTGAGGAGATAGAAGGCGTCATGGCCATCAAGATTCTCTCCTCCATCCACTTCATGTCATTCAGTCTGTCCTTGAGGACTGAAGTGATGGCCTGATGACCCTGCGGTGCTCCCAATAGGATGCTCATGGACGGGTGGTAGTCGAGGCTTCAGAAAGTTTTCTTGTATGACCTTTGTGGATTTAGTGCTTAGTTATGATTACATATTAATTCAGAAATTATTGATCGCACAGCCGGGACTCTTCCATACTCTCCAGAGTACCATCATCCAGGCATCACATACTGATGAAATTAAGACACATGTGCAACATTTGGGTATCTTTATTGTAGACGTTTCGCCATCCAGTGGCTTTATCAATACAAATTCTAGGACATAACTTGAAGACAGTAGGACTATATACAGAAGATGAGGTAATCAGTCCCTCAACCTTGGAGTAGGTGCGAAGAGCACCGTAGTCGTGGAGATTCTGAAGCAGAAGCAAGGAGCCTGGCGCTTATATAGTAACGTCAGGTGTAGCAGACGAAGGCATAGTCACTGGTATTACATACCATTATATACCATTCTTGCCCAACTTGTCAGACACTGCAACATCATGGAATCTTGATTCTTAGGACATGTACATAACCTTCACGACTACGACAACTACTACTACAACTAACCAATCTCTTTGGGAAGGACCTACTTCCACTGGGGAATCCCGCCTACCAGTGACTATGCCCTCGTCTGCTACACCTGACGTTACTATATAAGCGCCAGGCTCCTTGCTTCTGCTTCAGAATCTCCACGACTACGGTGCTCTTCGCACCTACTCCAAGGTTGAGGGACTGATTACCTCATCTTCTGTATATAGTCCTACTGTCTTCAAGTTATGTCCTAGAATTTGTATTGATAAAGCCACTGGATGGCGAAACGTCTACAATAAAGATACCCAGATGTTGCACATGTGTCTTAATTTCATCTTGTCGGTATTATATACCATTCTTGCCCATCACATACTGAGTTCGCTTCACAAGATGAAAGTGAGATTTACCGCCATGGAAAAGAGAAACGGAGCGAATGGGTCACCCTGCTGAACCCTTTCTGATGAGGTGATTTCATGCCCACCAAATAAAAGAATTGAAGTTTTCCTCTAAGCAGTTAAATAAAGGAAAAAAGACTAGGGAACTGCTCTCGAACAGCTGGCAAGACCACATCTCTTCTCACCATTTTAAAGGCATTCCTAAAGTTTAGTTTGACTACGACCTTGTCTTATGGTAAGTCCCTGATATAAGCCCTTGGAGCATGAGCTGCCACTTCATTACCTTTAGATTCTTCGAAGCCCAGTTCGTTTGGCTGGAGTAAGTTGGTGGCTTCCGTGCGAATGTTTCTCATTGTTGCTTTGGCAATGAGATGGTCAAGAGTGTTACCAACAGCGTTGGGTCTGATTCCCCATCTTTCTTTTTCAGAGAACATAATGAGGCTCCGAAAAAGAAAGATTTAATTTCTTAAGGAATCCGCCTCACCACAGTTGTTGACGAAGTTTGTTAACTCCGAAAGGATAACTGATGCAGCTGTGTCAAGCACTGGATTTACAATATCTTTGATGTGTTGTGGTCGTGTTCCAGTAAAACCTTTTGCAGATCCTGCTGGAAATGACACTATCGTTCCATAAATTTCTGATTCGGGGCTAAATTAATTGTCCAGTTATGGGATCATCATAGGGTTGTTGTTGGTGACACTGGGTTTCCTGGTCGGGTGCTTGTCTCTTAGTACTAGAGCTGTAACCTCATTTCTGTGAGCAATTGTGTCGTCACTTGTGGTTATTCTGATTGCTCCCAGGTGTTGCCTTCTTCATTTTTTTGCTAACCTGCACACATATTTTCTCGTTTTCAGTGGAATTTTTCTTGGGTCTTCCTCGGTGATTCCTTCGATAATGGGGCAGAGGAACACAGTTATCTGTACATGCGTAGTTGCGCACTGCTTTGATATTAATGATGTAAATGCAATTTCCTGCCTCTTGCAGGAACTGCAAGACAAACGTTGCCAAACAGGAGTAGGTTGTGACATGCCTTAATTAAGGTGCCTCGGGCGTCTAACTTGGTAGAACTTCTATTTTCATTCTTTATAAGGTTTGTGAATTTCCCTGCAGCATATGGACGAGCAGCTTCAGGAATATGAGGCAGGGTTTTGCTAGCAGTGAATATGAATGCAATCAGGAAATCATCGCAACTAAGGAGGTTGCCACTGGAAATTTTACCTGTCTGTGTAGGCTGTGGGCTGCTCTCTTCATGAAGCTTATGTGACCCAGCACACTCATTGTGTGGATGGATGAGGTTCCCTCCCCACCTAATGAGGGCCCGATATGCACCACACACCTGACATGTGCGTGTTCTCATGTTGTTATGTACATTATTTCCCTGACTTTGTGGCTGGCTTGCTGCAACATCCTCTGTCATCCCTTAATTCATCTGGTGAACTTGAACTGGAGGAAAAATGACCCATGTGGGTGAAAGCACATTTCACGGGTGGTTCATGGTGAAGGTGGAGGAGAGTGTAATTCGAGATGTGGCTGGCTGTCTCACATAGTCATGGGATGTGAGGGAGGGATTTATTAGAAGAGGGAACGGGATATCCATTCTAGGCAGGCAGGCCTAGCTAGCTGTGTCAGATTTTCCAGCTTTTCTCACTACACAGCATCTCTATGCACAACACATCACTATTCACAACATGTCACTATATACAACACACAGCTGTATACAACATACCTCTGTACACAACATGACACTATACACAACATGTGGAACACCCCCAAATAAAAAGAAAAAAAAAACTGCCTTATCAAAACACGTTTACAAGATATTTATATATATTATATATATATATATATATATATATATATATATATATATATATATATATATATATATAAATATATATATCGTGCCGAATAGGCAGAATTTGCGATCTTGGCTTAAATAACAACGCTCATCTTGCC